CTGATGCGGGACTCGATCCCAGGACCCTGGGATCATGACCTGAGCCGAAGGCAGACGCTTAACCATCTGAGCCACCCAGGCACCCCACAAATTTATTCTTTTAAATACACTCAGAGGTCAATGTGAGGCAGCAGAGATCTCTACCTTCAATCAGCTGTCAATCTACTCAGGGATGATGAGAGATAAGCACAGTCTAAAACCAATTTAAGTACTGGATCTGAATGCTACTAAGGTAATAACAGGGTAATATGATTAAGGAAGGGCTGCTTTAAACTAGGGTGGCCTGGGAAGGCTTCTTTGAGGGGACATTTGAGTTGAACCATAAATGATGACAATGAGACAGCCATGCAATTGTCTAAAGACAGCACATTTCAGGCAGAGGGAACAGCAAGTGCAAAGCCCCGCAGCAGGAATAAGCTTGGTGTGTTGAAAGACAGTAAATAAAGCCAGCAAGGCTGGAGAGTGGTGACAAGAGGAAGACTGGTAGATGAGGCCTGAGAGGTCAGCTGAGGTCACTGTGCAGGGCCTCCTAAGCCACAGTAAAGATCTTAGGTTTCATTCTAAGTATGATAAGCCTTTGAAGGTTTTAAGCAGGGTAATGACATGATCTGGTTTACAATTCAAGATTATTCAGCCAGCTGTATGGAGTACTCATCATAGATAGCCATTTGCTTTTTTCTTTAAAGATTTCATTTATTTATTTATTTGACAGAGAGCGACACAGCGAGAGAGGGAACACAAGCAGGGGGAGTTGGAGAGGGAGAAGCAGGCTTTCCGCTGAGCAGGGAGCCTGATGCGGGGCTTGATCCCAGGACCCTGGGATCAGGACCTGAGCCAAAGGCAGTCGCTTAACGACTGAGCCATCCAGGCGCCCAAGAGCCATTTTCTTCATTAGCACCAAAGACATAATGCTTGTGGCTGATGAGCTTCTCAGCGGGTACGAAAAGGTTGGGGGGTGGGGGGAAAGTTCCACAATGCAAAAAGAAAACTACGAAGCTGGAATGTATAAGTATTTAATTAAATATCTAGAAAACAACAATCATGGCAACTTCATTCATCATTAAATTTAGTATTCATATAAACATTTGAATTACATTTGGAAATAATTTGAAAATTTGATTTTTTCAGTCACAAAAATTCGCAAGTATACCCAGTGACTGCCAAGAAATCATAGCTGATCATAAATGGGGATTTTCTTGCAGCCAAATCATCTCAAAGGAAAAACAGCTGTCAATATTTTTAACCACAAAACATTTTTTTTAACTTAATGTGAAATGCAGATATACAAAAAGAAAAAATAAAATGCCTAGCATCATGAGGCCTTACAACTGTACCAACACCACAGAGGTGGCTGGCTAAGAAATGCTAGTGGCTTAAACTGGTGCTGTTCAGGCCTACACTCTGAGTCTGAACAGTGGCCAGGGGACCCTTGCAACAGCTTCTCTGAGAAAAGCACATTTGAACAGGTAGAACTAAATGACAAGAAGGTGTCAGCCATGCCGAGAGCAGGGAAGAAGAGGTTCTAGGTGGAGGTTCTGCACTGGAAATGCCAGGTCAGATTTCTAAGGAACCAAAAGAGAGTTTGGCCGAACTGAAAGCTGGGGTTGGGGAAAGGGGGTAGTAGGAAACAAAGCATGTAGATTCTCCAACACAGTATTCTTATCCCAAGAATAGAAAACCACTCATATTTAAGAGTGGCTGATCCAGTTTGTTTCACACCTACACTGTCCAGGAATACAGCAGCCACTTGCCACAGGGGCTCACGAACACCTGCACACAGTTCGTGCCGCTGCAGCACAGAATTTTCCCCATCACTCAATTCTAACTGATTAAGGTTTACACTGAAAACCCGACATGCAGTCGAGCTCCCGCAAAACTTGTAAGTATGTTGGGAACAGACGGCGTGGGCATGTGAACCTACATTTCCAACTCTCAATTTTATGAAACCTAAAGCCAGACCGACTCTTTCCGACGAAAATGCAGCTGCAACGGTAAAACGCACGAGATTTCGAAGCCTTCGTACTTAGTAAAAGAATGGAAGATATATCTCCTTTGTATTTTTTATACCCATCGCATGTTGAAATAAGATCTTGGCTACGCTGGGTTAAAGATAACATTAATTTCACCTGGTTTTTTGTTTTACTTTTTCTTTTTTAACGTGCTTACTAGAAAAATGTAATGCGAGAAATGTGGCTCGCGTTAATTTTCCACTGGTCGCGGGTGGAAGCTGAGGGTAGCTCCAAGAGGTGCCTGGAGTCTCCCAGGCAGGGCACGACGGCGGTCCGACCCTGGCGAGGGGGTGCAGAGAAGTTCCTAGTTGTATTATGCAGCCACGAGTCAAGTCCGCGAGTTTTCAACGGCCCCGTTCACGGGGCGGGGAGACGAGGCCCCGGGAGCTGAGTGGCAGAGGCCGGACTCCAACTCCCCTGTCCACCGGAAACCTCCCAGCGGCCCTCGAGGAGGCGAGAGCGGGATTCGAACCAGGCCCGACTCCCGGGGCCCCGGACTTAGCGCGCCGCGTGAGCGCCGCTCCGTCTCCCCTCAGGAGTGTGACCAACGTTCAAAACGGACTCCCCCGCCGCCGGGCCAGAGGAGCCCGGAGCCCCTTAGAGAAGGTGCCGGCTACGCTCACCTGCTGACAGACGCCAGGGCGACAAACGCTCCTCCTCTCTCTCCACACACGGTTCAAGCACGCCGGCAGCCGACTTCCGCTCCTCTGCCGCGAATCCCCAGCTAAATATTCCTCTCCTCCCGCCCCGCGACCAACCCAGCCAATCACCTCTCAGAAAATCTGCATCAGCCCGGCCACACGCCTGCCTGCCAATCACCGCGGGCGCCAGCACCGCCCTTCCCGCCCTCTTAAGCGGGCGCCGCGCGCCACCGCTAGGCGGTTGGCGGCGCTGCCCTCCGCCGGGATGCGTCTTCCCGGAAGGGCGGGGCGAAGCGCGGGCCACGCCTGTGCGGGAACCTTTGGGATTGGCCAAGAGGAGCCTCGCGCTCTGCCTCCACCCACCCCCGCCCTAGACATCCGAGTCGGAGACGCTGGGGATTGGTTCCCGGTGGGCACCCAGGGAAGCCAAGAAATGGTTCCGCCTCCCCCGCGCATCCCGGAGAGGGAGCTCCATGGATTGGCCCGAGGAGTCTCGGCGCGCGCCGATCTGCGCCTCAGGATTGGCTGAGGATATGCTCGCGCCGCCGGAGAGCGTTGACGGTGATTGGCCGGAGGGTGGGGCCGGCTATTTGAAGGAGGCGCGCGGATCAAATACGCACTTCAGTCGGCGGACAGAAGAGGCGGGAGCTGCTTTGGGTAACGCTACCCCGCTGACCACAGAGGACTCAGGCGCGGGCTCGGTCCCAGCTGTGGCCTCTGCCGCAGTCCGGCAAGGCGATGGCCAAGGTTTCTGTGCTGAACGTGGCGGTGCTGGAGAATCCGAGCCCTTTCCACAGCCCCTTCCGGTTCGAGATCAGCTTCGAGTGCAATGAGGCCCTGGCGGACGGTGAGGCTGGGCCTGTGTGGAGATCTCCCCTCCCCCCGGCCAACCCCGACCTCCCCCGTGAAACAAGCCCTTCCAACCCTGGTCTCCCTCCTTCCCTCCCCTTCAGCCCCAGCCTCCTTGTAAGAGACTACCCTGACACCCCATGGCCAACCCGACCCGCTCCCCACAGTTACTCCCGTTTCCCCAGTGGAGACCATCATCCCGCTCTTTTTTTTCTGTGGAGCTCCTCCTGGGCACGTATTTTCTATCAGTCTCCATTCTTTAACCTGCAGAGACCTTCAGTCACCCTGTCTTCCCCAGGATCCCTTCCTTTTTTCCCAGAGGAGCCCCTCCGTTACCCTTTATCTCTGTGAAATCCCTTTCCCCCGTGGCAAGACCTTACTCGCCCCGATCTCTCCATTTGTCTCCCAGTAATCCCTTCCCCAAGCTGCTGATATTTAAAACAACCCCACCCCCACCCACTTCTGATTGCTTTCCTACCCCCAAAGCACATGCCCTAGAACCTGGCTTCCCACCTCTTTAGCCTGCCCCCAGTCTTCCACTCTTGAGCTCCACCTGGGGAAGCACGGCAGGTTTCCAGCTCCAGTCTTTCAGGATAACTTGGTTTCCCCAGCTCCCGTTCCTCCCTCCTGTCTGTGTGCTTCGATAAATACACTCATATCTGAGGAGTGGCATAACCAGTCAAGCATCAGCCGGTTCCCACTGTCTGCCCACCAGGTTCCAGCTGATCTACTGCAGAAATTCTTTCAACACTTTTGATGGTCTGACCTAGTCTGGGGGGTGGGTGGGCCAGGCTGAGCCATGATGGTATCTGACTTCAAACAATTGGCTGGGAGGTCAGAACTTTTTGTGCATCTTTTCCAAGGTGTTTTCACAGATGTACTTATTCATCCGTGTGTTAAAAAGGCGGACATGGCTCTCATCTCACAGATGAGAAGACAGGAACCACAAAGAGTGAAAGACCTTTCAAGTAAAGGTCTATAAAAATCGAAAATCTAAGGTTGCCCAGGGACTCTTGGCACCACTTTCAGGAGGAAGTACTCCATTAGACAGATTCTCCACTTGGTGGTTAAAGAAGAGGCCGCAGCTGAGGAGCTGGAGATCTGTGAGGCCATGGTGTGCTAACTAGCGCCTCTCAGTGGTAGGTGGGTGGTTTGTGGGAAAAGCCAGCCACTTGGATTAGTTTGGGGTTGATAACAATTAGAGATGTGCTTTTGGGCTAGGTCAATAGATCAGTCTCTCCCAGTTTCTCTCCTTTTTAAATTAAGGAATCTACTTGTGACTAACTGTAGAATAAGCCCAGTTAAATCCTTTCTGGAACAAGGCAGGGTGTAAATAAATAATTAAAGTGTAGAATGACAGTGTGGAATAAGAATTTAATTTTAAAGCCAGGAGGAGATATAAGGAGCTAATAGGTTAAGGGATTCACAGTTCCCAGAAGGCAGGAGATCAGGTTTCAAACAGCCTGTTTGTGTTCCTTGCATTTAAAAAGGGTCGCATAGTCCTTATCTAGTACTTCTATTCCTAGGAAAATCTCTGCCCTGTTACTTTACTGTTTATAGACTCCGAGCAGGAAAGTCAAAAGTCAACCTACTGGTCATTATTTTTTAATAGAGAGAAATGGAATGACTTCCCCAGGGTCATAGAAGTAGAAGTCTTGATGCGAGGTCTGTAGAAGCATTGACACTAGAGTTTGTCTCTAAGTTCTGAGTCCAGAGTTCTCTACCTTTGCTATAACCTGGGAAAGAAAGAATTCATCCCTTATTTTAAGAAGTGGAGCATAAATAAGACTGACCATAGAATTTATTTCCACATCGGGACACTCTCAAAAGAGAATGAAGGGGGTGCTATTATTAATTACACCCAAATAATAAAGCTTTTGCTCAGAGAAATGCAAGTTGGAAAGCAAACTCTGGCCTGGAAACCCAGACTCTGGTTCTACCCCTAGGGCTGTCCATGACTTTGACCTGCCAACTTGCTTTTTGCCTCTTCCTGGCCTTCTTCCCATGGAGCACAGAGAATCCGTTTCCTGCCTCCCAAACAGATGGAGGGGGCCAGGCTTTAGAAGTCTCTCAGATTCTGGAGAAATCTCAGTCTTGTTTCCTTGACACTGGCAACTGAAGATCCGACGAAAGACCCAACCCCCAATCAGTGGCTGGCCCTGTTTCCCAAGGGCTCCAAGCCCCTTTGGTTCTTTTTTTCTCCTCGGCAACTGGAAATAGGTGCTTCCAAGGCATGGGTCCACATTTAATACATTAGGTGTGTTTTTGCTCTCTTTCACTGAGAAATTCAATAGCCACTATTTGAATAAGTCATGGAACCAGATGTTCTGTCCCACAGCTAACACCACGATCAGGCCACGATTCATCTATATGATTCTGAACAAAGGTAAAGTGATAAACAGGAAAAAAGCCTACTAGATAGTTTTTGTTTTTGTTTTTGTCTTAAGGCAGGAAACATTCTCCAACTAGTTCAACTATGATGAATTTTTACATGCCTTTAATCAGGTTGTTAGTTTTGGTTTTGTTTTCGTACATAGTGGAGGAGCATGTTGTCGACTGTTCGATTGTAAAGTCAGGGCATAAAGACAAAATTGCAGTCAAATGCTCTGCCACTGAGCTATACCCCTCATAAAGACAAAATTGAATACTGTCAAGTTACCCTTGAAATTGCCTAAAAAGTTAGGTACACCATGTTATGTGTGTGCAATCACCTCCTACTTCTAAAAAATGGTTATATTAAAAAATGGAGCCACTTAAGTATGCTTCTGCTTCAAACGCTTCAGCCAGTTTAAGGTGATCCAGTTTGTAGGTCCTTATTTTCAAGCATCTGCTGTCTTCCATAGATGACTTTATCAGCTCCTCTAACCTTTCGAGTCAGTATTTCTCTGTGGTCCTCGGTCATTTCTCAGGTTTCTTTTCGGCCCTTCTGGAGGGAGCCATGGTGGCCCGTTTGCCTGGCTGCTGGTGCAGTGCATTTTCTCCGGACAGCACCCACACCAGTCTTTGTTTAGGTTTTCCCAGTGGTATCGAACATTCAGTGCCTGTGACCCTCACAGGACCTGCTCTCCTTCAGCCTCCCTTTTTATCTCCCCCCAGCACATCAGTTAAATGCACACATACAGGACTCCCCCGGTGGGGGGCGGGGGGTGCAGGAGGAAAGCTACCAAAATAAAGAGCTGTGTTAGAAAGGTAAGGACAGCCAGCTTGAGTTTTGTGTGTCCAGAAACATGTTCTGTCTAGTCGTGTCACTCCTTGTCACGAAGATAAATCAGTAAACTTAATCGGTCCCTGCAAATAATAAGAGACTGGGGTTTTAACCCCGGTGCGGTCTATGCCACAGACCTGCTAGGGTCCCTGAGTAGAAGGCCTGCGTGATCCTGCAAAGGGACAGGAAATCAGTGTATCGAGGAAGAGCTTGGGGCTCGGGTGACAAACCTCTGTAGCTGTGGCCCAGCATAGCAGTGTTTCCCAAGTTGGATGCTCTTGTGGGACATTGGACCAAGAAACAGGGCAACTTCAACAACAGTTTGCTTCCTGTGAAACTCATAGCTTGTGAAATTTCCGCCGGCTGCTGGAGCTGTAGGTTGTGTAATTTCAAAGAACCTAAAATAAGTTGCAGGTCTTCTGCCAACCTCCCCTGTACTAGCATGACCTCGCCCCTAATACACTTGGACCTCCTGCAAGAGGCAGCAGTCACCGGGAATTTCCTGTGCTTGCTGGGCAGGGTCTCCTTAAGCACTTTTCCTTTCACCTTGCTGGAATCTACTCAGGGATGAGATCCCCCTACTGGATGGGGTGCAAGCAAGTTGGGGTTCGAAGGATCATCCTACGATGCCACGTTTGTTGACTGAGTCACTGTCACCCAAATGTCTGAGGGGAGGCATGAGTTGGTGCTGGACCTGGAAGACCTGGGGGCTGGCTGGCTCCCCCAGTGGCCTCGTCTCCCCGCTCCACCGGCTGGCTCTCCTGCTGGATTGGAATCCGCTGCCCTGCCCCAGTTGTCGAGGGATCTCTTCAGCTCGGTGGCACCAGTCCCTGTGTGTGAAAGAGGATGCTGCTTCCTATCCCAGCACCCAGTGGGCAGGGCCCTGAATGGCCCAATTCCCTGCACTTCCCTCCTCAGCACGCCTCTGTCACGTGGCTCCTAATTCAATCTCTGCCATATGGTTCACCCTCAGGCTCTGAGATCCCCAAGTTTCCCTGGAGATGCAGAGTCAAGGTCACCGGGCACACCTAGGCTCACGGGAGAAATTTCCCCACTAGAAGTAGAGTTTCACGCTCACTCCAGTGTTCAGGCCTGTGGTACCTGGCACTTAGTCCCCAGATGTCAGGTATTCTTGAGAATAAAACTCTCTCAATACATTAAGGATCTGTCTACAGCTCACATGAGAAGAACTTCCCTTGCCTTCGTGCTGCCCCGGTATTTCAAATCCTTAATATCCCATGTCCTTACAGATCTAGAGTGGAAGATCATTTATGTTGGCTCAGCTGAGAGTGAGGAGTTTGATCAAATCCTAGACTCCGTGCTAGTTGGGCCTGTCCCAGCGGGGAGACACATGTTCATCTTTCAGGTAAGAAAGACAAGGCCGAAGGCCTTGGCACCGAGAGACATCCTCTTGTACCTGAGAGCACACAGTGCGGTCCAGGGGCCAAAAGTTGAGGTTCAAATTCCGGCTCTGCTTTCAGGAACTGTCTGACCTCAGAAGTACTTCATACATTTCCCTTTCCTCCACTCCTGTGTCATAGTTGTCACCATGAGCCACTGATTCATAGTTGATTCTCATTGTTCACGGGAGTCATGTCCTATAAGGTCGCTGCAAATGCTGCATTAGCGAATTTGTGAATACTGAGCCAGTGCCCCTGGAAGAATACAGGGATAGGTTCCTACAAGTCCTATTGTCAACCAATCAATACATAATCTTTTTTTTTTTTAAAGATTTTATTTATTTATTTGACAGAGACAACAGCGAGAGAGGGATCAGGGGGAGTGGCAGGCAGAGGGAGAAGCAGGCTCCCCGCTGAGCAGGGAGCCCGATGCGGGGCTCGATCCCAGGACCCTGAGATCATGACCTGAGCCGAAGGCAGACGCTTAACGACAGCCACCCAGGCATCCCAATCAATACATAATCTTGTTTCATGTGTATTTATGTTGAAAGACACCTTATTTAGTATTATTGTTGGTTCATTCACATTGAACTCCCAACAGCACTATAACTCATGCCTGAACAAAACTTATCTAACACACATGTTTTCCTCATAAAGCACATCATCACCTTGCACTAAGCACTATGCCTGGTAGCCATCCTGAACAGCAAAATCACCAGGGCTCCTGGGTGGCACAGTCGGTTGAGCGTCTTGACTCTTGGTTTTGGCTCAGGTCATGATCTCGAGGTCATGGGATCGAGCCCTGCATTGGGCTCCGTATGGGGTCTGCTTGGGATTCTCTTCTTCCCTCTGCTACTCCTCCCCTTCCCCTCTCTCGCTCGCTCTCTGTCTCTCAAATAAATAAATATTTTAAAATAAATAAATACTTAAAGATATTAAAAGCAAAGACTCTCCTCGGTCCTCACTGCATCCCACTCTGCCGCTCCCTCCTCAATCCAAGCAACCTCCTCCCATCCCCTAACGCCTCACCCACCTGGAGCCAGGCCACCAGCAACCCAAGCCCGTCTACTCCACTCCACAAGCAGGGCTGGCTTCCCTAGCATTCAGCCCATGCAGCCACACAGGGCCCGGCACCTGGTCTAATATTCTGCTGTCACTCGCTAAAACTTACTAATTTGTGAATAAGGGATCCCATGTTTCATTTTATAATGGTTTCATCTTGTACCAGTTATGTAGCTGGTCCTATCCATGACAACACACCCCAAATCTGCCTCTGTCCTCTCCCTTCTGGTCTAAGTCGCTGTCCACACTTCCAGGATGACCACTGTAACCTGCTGAATCTCCCTGCTCACATAGTGGCCCTCCTCCCATCACAGCATCACACGCTGCCAGTCTTTACAGACCACAAGAGTGATGCAGCACTTACCTCCTGCTAAATATTCTTGCTCTTCCCCAAGCCCTTAACTGGCCCAAAAGGCCCTGGGTGGCCTGGTACCTACCTGCCTTATCTTATGCCACCCTCCCCCCTGCTCACTACACTCCTCAGCACCATTTACTCCTTTGTGGCACTTGTCACACCGAGCATTTTACAGGCATTTACGGGATTGATTCTGTCTTCCCCACTCTATTAGAAACTCCCGTTGGCAGAGACCATACTTTTGGCTCAGTAAATATGTGTTGCTTGAAAATCACAAGATGGAGGTGTGCCTGTGCGATCAATGCTAAGGCACAGGGTGTGTTTCCTCTAGGCTGACGCCCCCAACCCATCCCTCATCCCTGAGACCGATGCTGTGGGTGTGACCGTGGTCCTCATCACCTGCACCTACCATGGACAGGAGTTCATCCGTGTGGGCTACTACGTCAACAATGAATATCCCAGTCCCGAGCTGCGGGAGAACCCACCCCTGAAGCCAGACTTCTCTCAGGTGGGACCTGTCTCTGCACTTCCTGCTTCGGGCAGGCTGGCTCCTTTGCACCTGGGGGAGTTGAGTCATTGGAACTGGGAGCCAAGGTCACTTCTTAAGGTTTTCAAGTCATGCTCAGATCTTGCAGCTCCAGACTAGAACCAGAGAGAGAAAGGTCTTTGTTTCTCAGAAGCACGCCTCACAGAATTGAGATTAGATAGGTCTCAGCCCTAAGTCATGGTATGTAGGCGCTCCTTGGAGTTCTACCCATAGTTGCTGATGGTGACAGAATAAGTAAGCTCTGTTCTTCCTGGCCTTGGGGCAAGGGCTGGGGGTGCCCCAGCTCCGTGGGAGTAATGACAGGGCATGCTGACAAGGATTGACATTCCTCTTTCTGCCCCAGCTCCAGAGGAACATCTTGGCCTCGAACCCCCGAGTGACCCGCTTCCACATCAACTGGGATAACAACATGGACAGGCTAGAGGCCATAGAGAACCAGGACCCTGCCCTGGGCTGTGGCCTCCCCTTCAGCTGCGCTCCCATCAAGGGCTTGGGTCTCCCTGGCTGCATCCCCGGCCTCCTCCCTGAGAATTCCATGGACTGCATCTAACTGCGGGAATCCAGGCCCTACCTGGGCCCAGCCAGGACTGTGGCCAGTCTCCTAGCACATCTGGAGAGGGCAGCTGGGCCTCCCGGACAATCCCATGGAGGCCATCTGGAAGACTTTGGGGCCATCAACTATACCTAGGCCAGTCAGACATGGCTCTGAGGAAGGAGCAGGCCTCAGGTCTCTCCCAACCCTGACCCAGAAGGATCATCTTACCTCTACTGCCCAGGCCTGTAAGAAGCAGGTACTTCGGTTTTTAATTCTTTGGGACTTGTGTCTTTTCTCTCTTCCACACACACTATAAATTCCACCTGCAGGCCTTTGTGCCATCATGCTCCTTTGAGTACCATTGACCCAGAGCTCTTCCCACGGATTTCCCTGGCCTGCCTTGAGGCTTTCTTGGTCAATGCCTGGCAAGGCTCCAGGCCTGTTGAGCCAAAGGTTCTGTCATTCCTGTCCCTTCCCAAACATCGGAGAAAATACACCCAGCTTCTTGGAGTCACAGGCAAGGAATCTTCGTTAGAAGGTACACTTAGACACAATTTCTGTCTTTCTCCCAGGACAGTTTTTAAGTCTTTTTAATCCAACAGCCTCTGGAAAACCCTGTTCCCAAAGGCGTGCTTAGCAGGATGCTGAGGAATGATGGTTGACTCTCAGTCACAACCACCTTCCTGTCATCTCCTAGCTGGATCTGGCTTTCCCTGGAGGCTGCCATGGTGGGAAGATGGCATGCTGGAGGAGTCTGCTTTGCTCAGTCTGCCTCAGTGTTGGCATCAGGGCCCCTCTGCCTGCCTTGATCTGCCCTCTGCGAAGACCTCGTGCTCTCGCAGGCACAAGAAACCATAGGGACCTTGAAAACCTCTCCCCTGCCATGCTCCCCGCGACGCCCCGTTCCCTTGCTGCTATGTGGATGCTATTGTGATTACAGTTTGTATGTTAAAGGGTTTTTATATTAAATATGTTTGGTTGATCTAAAAATAAAAAGCACTTCATCTAGACTGATTCTGCTTTTGTCTTAAGTGTGCTGAGGCAGATTTGTCCATCTCTCCTCATGATGTGGTGAGGGGGCTCTTGCCCCAGCCAGTGGGCTGACTGCCCTTTGTCCCTTTGCTCAGCTTCTTACCCTAGTCTTAATTGGTTACATAATTGTACTCCAGACTGAGGTTCAGGGAGGGGTTTTTCTTTGTCAAAAGTTAAGCAACCCAGCTGTTCTGGATAGAGCATAACCAGTGATTTTTTAGACTTTGACCTTGACCCACAGGAAGAAATTAACATCATGCTCCAAGGACACACACAGCAACACTTTTATTTAATTTTACTTAGCCTTACTTTGTAACTGCACAGCCCAGAGAAGACTGGTTTGGCTGGTGAGCCATTTCCCCATAATGCACAGAAGTGCCCTGACTCTTCCCTCCCAGAAACATGGACCTAGGGACATGGGTGCAGACAGCTGCTGGAGAGGGTGCAGATTGTATAAATCTATAGGCAGAACAGCCAATTGGCTTGTAGACCTGAGACCAGCTAGCCCTTGAGTCAAGATAGCTGGCTTATCTGGCCCCCTGCTCCCCTTGGCAAGTTCTGTTTGGGTCTTCTACTTCAGTGGTTCTCAACTGGGGGCACTTTGCCCCCCGGGGCACATTTAACAATGTCTGAGATGGTTTTGGCGGAGAAGAGGCAGGTACTACTGGCATCCAGTGGGTAGAGATGGGATGCTGGCTAAAACTATAGTGAACCCACAGGACCGTCCCTCTCCCCAACAAAGAATGACCCTGCCCCAAATGTCAGTAGTGTGGCAGTGAGAAACCGACCTCAGGCTGTGTTTTTTTTTTTTTTTTTTAAGATTTTATTTATTTATTCATGAGAGACAGAGAGAGAGAGAGCGGCAGAGGGAGAAGCAGGCTTCCCGCTGAGCAGGGAGCCCGATGCGGGACTCAATCCCAGGACCCTGGGATCATGACCTGAGCCGAAGGCAGATGCTTAACCAGCTGAGCCACCCAAGTGCCCCCTCAGGCTGTGTTTTAAAAGGGCACCCAGGGGTGCCTGACTGGCTCAGTGGGTGGAGCATGCGATTCTTGATCTTGGGGTTGTAAGTTGGAGCAGCACATTGGATGTAGAGACTACTTAAAATCTTTAAAAATAAAAGAGCACCCAGAAAAAAAGAATCATCTTATTGCTCTGGAGGGCAGCTTCCCTTTGTGTTGCCCAAAGGGCATCCCCAGGCTGGCTGTGCCCCAGATTCCTCATCTGTGAAATGGGAGTGAGGGTAATAGTACCTCCGTGATAGGAATGTGGCGCAGTGTATTTAACAAGTGCCAGCTGACACGCACAAGCCCAGAGTGGATGCTCAGCAAAGCGATGGACACAGAGCCCCCTCCCAACTACCCCTTGCTCCCTGGGCCCAGCATCCTCCTGAAGCTCTGGCTGTGGCTGGAGGAGACCTAAAAGGCTCCTCGGCCCGTACCCTGCTACCCTGCGCCAGGCCTTACGAATGACGACTGCCGGAGGCCCGGCGACCTCTGACCCGAGGCGCCCGCCGCGCCCCTCCCCCGCTGGCAGGTGGACGGCGGCTGCGCCAGGAGGGTGGGGGGGAGGCCCTGGCGCGAACCTTAGCTGGCCGGCGGCCGCTGCCGCACTAAGCGGAGGCGGGGGACTGCGGCGCGTACGGGGGCCAGGCGGGCGCCCGCCTGGACCGCCTCCTGGGCCTCGGAGCGCGGCGCGGCCACCCGTCTGCCTCCGCCGCCCCGCCCGGCCGGCCAGAGCAGTAGGCTGCATCTCCGCCCCGCCCTCTCACCCCGGGATTGACACTGAATGTTCTGCGGGGGGGGTTGGCCGGACAGCGCGCCTCCGCCAATTGGCGGCCTCGCTGGGCGGGCCATGGGCCCTGTCGCAAACCTTGACCAGTCAGGTGCGCCGGCCCGCCCAGCTGAGGCCTCGCGAGCTCGCGAGTGGCCGGGAGTCCGCGGCACGCGTCACGGAGCCGAGGGCCTATGGTGGCTCGGGGGGGTTGCGGAGGACCAATGGGCGGCGGCGCGGCCCCGTCACTCCGGACGGCCTAGGCCAATGAGCGGCGGGCTGCGGGGGCGTCACGGACAGCAGCAGCGGACTTGGGCTGAGGTTCCCGGGCGGGCGGGCGCGGAGAGACGCGGGAAGCAGGGGCTGGGCGGGGGTCGCGGCGCCGCAGCCAGCGCAGCCAACCCTAGGGGCCGCCGCCGCCGCCCAGCGCGCTCCTGGGCCGCCGGCCGCCGCCAGCACCCGCCGCGCCGCAGCTCCGGGACCGGCCCCGGCCGCCGTCGCCGCGATGGGCAACGCCGCAGCCGCCAAGAAGGGCAGCGAGCAGGAGAGCGGTGAGTGCCCGGGCCATGACCCCGATCCCGGTCCCGCGCTGCCAGCCCCCGCCCTGTCCATCACCGCCTGGCCCCTCCCCCTACGCGCCCCCCCCTACTTCTCTTTGCTCATCCCCCCCCCGCCAGTGCCCCTTCCCCCTGCCTGTCCAAGGTTGGGGCCCAGGGCCCGCAGAAGACCCCCGTAGGGGCCCCCTTGCCAAAGGCCACCCCCCACTGCAAAGACTGTGCCCCCCCACACCCAGCTGTCACTGCCAACCAAGGCACGTATGACCGCTGGGGCCCCACATGGGGCCTTGTCACCACCCCACCCCCTCCTTTCCTGGCCCCTCTTCCCAGATTCTAATCCCCCCACTTCCTCACTCACCTCTCCCACTGATGGAATCCACTGCCAGACCCCGACCCAGGCTTCTGCCAGTTTGGGAGTGCTGTGGGGTCTGCCTCCACCCCGAAGGGACCTTGGCCACTTAGTGACCACACCCCTCCCCCCTCCAGCCCCCGCCATCTTTCTCCTGCCCTTCCCCTTTTCACCTTATCACAGCCCCCCTCCAAACCCACGCTGCCCCCCCTAAGCATTTCCCAGAGCCTCCTCCAGCATTGTTTTTCCCTTCTGTGTCACTTGGCATGGGGGACAGGATCTTTCTGGGTCCCTCTGCCCCTCTCTCATCTTGTCACTCTGTCACTCTGCCTCTCTGCCTGTGTTCCCTCCTCCAAGCAAATGTCTGTCCCTGGCTGAGGTAGCAGACTGTTTATGAACCTAGAGAACTGCTTCAGTGCTTCCAAAGCCAAGTTTGAGCCTGTCTTGCTGGGATTGATTGCATCTTCTTTCCTGGGTTTGGGGTGGGGGGGGGGGCGGCAGCAGAGCTCCTTCCCATCTCCTGCTATGCGGTGAGCTCTAGGCTTCTTGGAGTGCCCCTAAATAAATGGTTGTTTCACAACTGAGGCTCCGTCATTCACGCAGTCCCCAGGGCTTCCTCACCCTCTCCTGGCCCAGGATGAAAAGTGGGGTAATGAAGTGTCTGGGTTTAGCAGGGCTCATTCAGCTTGAGCTGGGATGGTGAGAAAGGGGACTTGAGGCATGACAGTTGGGGAGAGTAGTGACTGACATCTAATGACTTGCTTTGCCAAGGGACAAATAGATTCTCATCATTCCCAGGGCTCAGCCAGAGAGAGGCCTGTTTCCCCCTCAGCCCCCAAATTATGTTGGTGTTGGCCTTTTCCAGCCAGAGAGATCTGTATCTGGAAATGGCTTCAGAAATGGCCTCAAGCCCCTTCCTCAGTTCCCCCGGGTCTTAAATTGTCATCACTCCAGACCTATAGCTGGACCTTAGCTAAGATCCCCTTCCAGTTACCCAGAAATAGAGCTGAAAAGGGAGGCCATGTCCAAATACGCCCTTCCCAGTTTCTGATCTCAGACCCCAGCATCTGAGTCCTTTGAATACCCTGTCCCAGAAAGATGCAGGCCTGAAACCCAGGAAACTTTATTCCCACACGGATTCAAATGGCAGAACTGAGAATCACCAAGCAGCCATGGGAAGGCATGACATGTCACCGATGGGCGGGGGACAGGGAGGCAAGTGCCTGTAGCTGAGCACTTGATGACAGAGGAGCAGGTGGGTAGTGACCAAAAAAGGTCTGGGCATGAGCTTGGAGGGGACTAGGCAGAGGGGGAGGGGCTGGGGCCCCCAGCAGGTGAGGCTGGCTGGGAGGCGGAAGGTGGAGGCAAGTAGCTATATATTGCAGTAGCTCAGCTGAAAGTTGGGGAGATGACATCGTCCTGGAAAACTTTCAAGGCATATCAAACACATGCAGAGTGGGACGGAAAGCCGCACAGGGAAAAGGGTCCCCGAGAGAAAGATCGGAGAGGCTCTGGAAGGAACCACTAATTCTCCCAGAACACAGGCCAGACACCCAGAAGTGGACTATCACAATGAAACAGAGCTACTGTTTATTGGGCATCTAGGACGTGCCAGGGTAAGCGGTCTCCGTAGATCTATCTGCTGGAGTGATTTTCATAACAGAGTTTTCTCCGAATTTTCCAAACACGCTGTCTGAGTTTGACACAGACTTTGTCAAAGAGGCAGGATTCACATCCAGATCCACTTACCAGCCAGTTCCTAGACCCCAGAATTTCCCGACCCAGACGTTCTTAAGCTGCCTCCTTGATTTTTACTCTATTCACTTATATTTTCTTAATTTAAAGTAATAAAGTTGTGACCCATTTTTGTTCAGATGTAAAGTTTGATCTGTCCTGAGCAATAATATAAATGAAATCAGGAGATTGCTGTGCTAGTCATATTCTCTCTGATACACATTAAAATACAATGTAACTGGAAAAGTGAAACATCCCTAAAATCATTTCGTGCCCTGCAGGTGGGACCCATGTCACACTTCGGGAAATGCCCCAAGCTGTACATCCTTCCAGAGGCTTACAGGGGCTCTTAGAAAAGGAAATAGGATGAGAGAGGAAGCCCCTTTTTGCCTCGAAGCTCTGAGTCCAAAAGGATGAAACTAGACAGAATCCGCTGTCTTGTAACCCGGGTGCGGTGGGGGTGGGGGCGGGGGCAGTAGCCAGGCCAGCCTGCAGGGGGCACCTGAATTTCATCTGCCAGCTTTCAGCCTGACCTGGGTCAGGAAAACGCCCAAGCCATAGTAGACACCATTCGGGCATCCTGCAGCCCCCTGTGCCCCTGTCTCCATGGCAGGACACAGTGTCAGTTTCCTCCCAGGAGGGCAGGGATCGAGAACAAGCCCTGGTGGGGTGGGGTGGGAGAAATCTTAACCCAAAGATGCCAAAGCCATCAGCAGGGGCCCAGGGAAGATGCTGAGAGAACATACAAAGAAGACCGAGCCCTGGGCTCTGAGCAAGCTGGAGAACTGGGAGAAGGCCTCCCAAGAGGCCTGGGGACGGGCGGCCAAGTGGAGCTCAGGCCTTGGCTGGCACTGGCCAAAGGCACCCCTGGGAGCTGGCCCACAGAAGGGGTGGGACTGGTGAAAGGGAGCCCCCAGATACCCCTCCAGGCCCCAGGGACAAGCAGATCCAGGCTCTGTGAGAAGCGCCCCCAGGAGGTCCCTGGATAGGAGGAATGGAGGCCCTCTGACACCCTACAGAAGCCTGTCTGAGAGCAGCAAGCACCTTCTGTGCATTGGCAGTTGTATGGGTGCCCAAGAGGGTCCTGCCAAGGCAGCTTTTCCCTTATCCCAGTCAGGCCTACAGAAGCTTGAGGGTCCTATCTGTCCCTTCCCTGGACCCATTGGTCCCTAAGTTGGCTTCTCTTCCTGCCACCACCCCACAACTCCCTGCCTCCCCCTATAGATGGAGTATTGGGGATGGGCAGCCAAGCTGGTACAGCAGGTCTCATGAGCCTTCCCAGCCACCGTAGTCTTGGTGCCCTGAGAGGAAGACTGAGTGATGGCTTCCAACCCCAACGATGGTGAGGATGAGCCCTGTTGCTATAGCAACTTCCCAGGCACTCTCTGCCCCTCAAGCCAGGGAAGGGCTGCAGTGGGGTGTCGGGAACAGGTGGAGAGGAAGAGTCTGTAGACCCTTGGCTAGCCCTGGAAACCCCCCTGACTAACAACCCTGAGCTTGGGGGCCTGGGGAAAAGCAGAGGTATGGGTGGCCCCATTCAGACAAGGGGGGAATGTTCCACCCAGAGCGGGGGTCCAGCTCAATTTTAGTATATGTGCTGCCAAAGCGAGCACAGGGGGTCCAGCTCAGACCAGGGCGGTGGGGTGGCCCAGCCCAGTGTTGTGTTAAACTCAGAATGGGGGTTGGTTCAGCTCAGTGGTGGAGTCAGGTCATAGTGGATGATGGGTCAGTACAGAATGGGTGTCCATCCGGCTGGGGAGCGATCCAGTTCAGAATAGGGGTCCCATCCATCCGTGTCCCAGACAAACAGGTTTCAGAGGGCTGAGTGTGCTGAGATTGTTGTCTGGGGTGTCTGAGGCTGGGCTCCTGCCTCCTGCTGTGGCCCTGGCTTTTTGAGGGGTGTCTGGGGTTCTCTCTGTTAGCCCAAATCGAATCCCGACCAGAGTGGAGGCTGGCAACCACCCCTCCATCCCTCGGGGGAGACATGGCAGGGGGGCGGGTTTCATAAGCCAGCAGCTGGCTGGGTTTCCCTTCTCTGCCACTTCCTGTTGTCAGCAGGGGCCACGGGTGCTGGGCACTTTCAGAGAAGCTGCCACTGACCCTCCACTTTATTTGGGATGTGGAAAGAAGGAGGAAGATGGTCAAGGCTGCCTCCCCCTCCCCCACCCCTAGGTTTAGCCTTTCGTTTCCGGTTGGACTTTCATGGCTGAAAGCAGAGCCAAGCACAGGGCAAGGTTTGACAGAGGCCAAGGACATCCTGCGATGTTAGTCCCCTCTCTGCCCCCACATTGGAGCAAGACAAATCCAGATATACCCATTTTTCTCTTGGGGTAACAGGATTTGGGGGCTCCAGTTTCAAAGAGGACTTAGGGGAGGAGATAGGGTGGCTCTTGCGCCCGCCCCCACCGCTTCTTTCTCTCCATCTGCTCTTTCAGCTAATTAACGGGGCTCTGGGGCTTCTTTGGCCCCAGGGAGCCCCTTGCTGCTGCCTGGGCCTGAACCTTAACTCCTTCTCCTCTGCCCAGTGGGCACTGCCCTGGGCACGTCCAGTGCCATCCTCTGGGTAGTTCAGCACCCACTGAGGACAGCAGGACCTGGCATCTTGGGAGCAGTGAAGTCCCTGGAACAGGAAGTTAGCTTTAGCACTCCACCCCTGGGGCAGCCCGGCCAGCCAGAAGGGACACCCTCAGGAGAATCTTCCCACTGCCTTCTGCCAAGGAGGGCCTTCGCAAACCTTGGCCAGCCGGGAGCAGGTACCTTTAAATGCTTCCCTGGCAACCGGCTCCTCCTCCCTGGTCCCCTGAGGCCCTTCAGAGGAAGCCAGCTCAGAGGCCTTGCGTGTTCCTGGTTTCCCTGCAAAGGGAGGATTCCAGGGAGGGCTCAGGGCAGCCTGGGATGGATGTGGGGTCAGGCAGTGGCCAGGGCAGTGACTCGGAGACCACCTTCCAGCTGTGGCTGCAGCTGCTTCTCTGGGCCCACCTGACTCTCCGTTTCCTGGGCTACCTGCACCACACCTTCTGGGCGTGTAAGCCGCGGCCAGCACCCTGAGCCTCCCTGGCCGGGGTAGATGGGTCTCACATCACCCTATCCCTCTCCACCCCCCCCATTGCATCCTCTGCTGGAAGACATATGAAGCAGAGGTGAGTATGGGGGCTCCTGGCTGGGGCTCCCCCCATCATTATCCCTCTTTATCTGCCCACTTCTTCTGGCACTGTCCCCCCCTCCCCACTATGCCCAAATCTGGCAAACCGATGGCACCAGAGGGGACACAGTTTGGGCCCTTTAGTACTTTGAGAGTCTAGAGAAGAGCTGTACTAGGACCAAGGCACCCATGGAGCCTCTCAGTGGGGTACCAGCAGACAGCCAGAGGCAGGCCCACTAAGTCAGGAAAAGGCAGAATATGGTAGTTCTCAGAGAGGGCTGAGAGCAAACAGGGAAGCAGGACCAGGCATCCTCCTGGATTCTTCCCACACCCCTTCCTTTGCCTTGTTAGGTGGGCAAAGGTGAAGTCCCAAGAGGGTACCCTCTCCCCCGCCGCCTTCATCCTGAATTCAGTGTGTATGTTTGGAGGTTTCCAAGGAAGGTGTTGTGCATCAAAAAAGATTCTGCTAGGGAAAGCACTGGATTTGGTGCAGCCCCCAGGCTCAGAGAGGTCTCAAGCAGTTGATGGCCCAGCAAGGTACCAGCCCAGGACTTGTGGCCATTCCTTGACTGCCCCCTCTCTGCCCAGTCACTCATTTTAGGGCTTTCCTGGCCAACAGTCTCTCCTCTGTCTGCCGTTCCTGCAACCCCATGGAAGGTTCTTCCCTCCAAACGCTGAGGGGAGTCTTGAGAACGGTGGGAGTGGTGGCCACCCATGAGGCTGTGTGGGATGCCTGGCGCTGTGTCTGGGTAGTTCGGGCAGATGACAGACGAGGCCAAAGTACAAGTGCGCAGGACCCCTCAGGGTGGCAGGTATCAAGGGGTAGAAGACAGCTCCGTCTGTGGGCCACCCTGTGCACGGCCACCAGGCGGGAGCGAAGCAGTTAATCTTGTGGGCATTGAGATCCGGCAGGCCACCTCAGTCCTGGTCAGTCTTCCCATCTGTACAAGGAGAGGAACTGCAGGTCTGACCCATTAGGGTAGGAATTAAGCACAGAAAGCATTCAGTACAGGACTGGCACACAGGAAGGGTCCCTGAACAGCATGCCTGGCCCCGGGGGGTGGTTACAAGGACTGGTCTGTAATGAAAGAATCCACCAAGCTGTACATTTAGAGTTTGAAAGGTCAGTGTACTCCCCACACCCTATATTTCATATCTCAGTTTTTAGAAATACCTAAAAGCAAAATCAATAATTGCCATTTATATCGCATTAACCCCACACCAGCCACTGTCCAACCCCTTTTGCCAAGATTAATTCTTTCAGTCCTCACAACCACTCTACCAGGTCGTTACTAGTGTTAGCCCCATTTTACAGATGAGGAAAACTGAGGTCAGGTCAGTTGCCTAAGGTTGCACAGCTCATCAGAGACCAGGCTGGGATTTGAACTTGATCTTGTCCCAGAGTTCTGGCCCCTAACTGCTTTGCTGGGCTCCTTCTCGGCCTTGGCAAGAATGCCTGTTTTCAAGCCTCAGTTTCCTAGGGCGTTAAATGGGAAGAATGGATAAAAGGCGAACCAAGTGAGCAGACCCAGGGTCCACCAGGAGGTCTTCACCATTAGCCGGATGGTGATGTTCGCCTTGGGGTGCTGAAGGGCCCGTGGGGTGTGGACATCGGGTAAGGCTCCCCTTGAACCAGCTCTGGAGGAAGGACCCCTGGACTGGCAAAGGCGGGAATGGGGCCAGCTGGGGGCCAAGGCAACAGCTGAGCCCCCCAAGGGCGCCTGCTACCCGAGCCCCAGAGGCCTCCACCCAGGGCCCGGCCTCCCCAGAGAAGGGGTTGGAGGAGCAGCCAAATCCCCAGGCTATAAATATCTTGGCTGGCGTCGGCCCTGGCCATGGAATGTCGGTCAGAACTGGGGCGAGTGGGGGTGGGCTGGCCTGGGCGTCACTCTCTGTACCCCTAAGAGTAACCCCCGAGTCACCTTGCACCTCATTTGGGACAGAGTTGAGGCTGTATCCCACTCTTCTGAGTAAAGGGGGCCCAGGCCCCCAGCCCAGATCAGGGCCCCCCAAAGCTGCCCTCCAGCTCAGCCAGGGCACCTGAAGCTACTGGGAAAAGGTCAGTCTCTAGGTGGAGACAGCTACACCCCACTTTGCACAAATGGGCATCTCCCCAGGAATAGCCGAGGCCCACCCCAATAAGATGGGGTCTCTAACACTCTCTCTCTTTTCCTTTCAGTGAAAGAGTTCTTAGCCAAAGCCAAAGAAGATTTTCTTAAAAAATGGGAAAATCCTGCTCAGGTAGGCCCCCGGGATTCAGAGCCCTGAGAGGGGTGAGCTGATGGCCCCCCACCCTCCAGCTGTGCCCCTGTAACACGGTGAGGACTTTTAGGGCCCTGTAGAGGGCTCCAGACCTGACCCCAATTGCTCCCTAGATGCCAGTGGGGGCTCCTGGACGGAGGCACCCAATCACCCACTGGCACGCACCCCCACCCCACCACCCCCTTCCACCTGGTGGCCCCTGCCCCCCACGCAGCTGCCAGCAATCCCTGGGCCCCGGGCCAGGGCCGGATCTGGCCCCTGCCACCCGCCTTAAGGAATGTGTCCTTTGCCATCTTGTTTTTCCACCCCCTGTCCTCACCCCATCATTCCACCCCCTCCCCAGAGCCCCCTCTGCTGGTGGCAGAGGGCATGCCCTGGACCTTGGCCTTCCCCCACTTGGAGGGGGTCCCTGACCCTCCCAACCCCTCTGCCCACAGAATACAGCCCATTTGGATCAGTTTGAACGGATCAAGACCCTTGGCACGGGCTCCTTTGGGCGAGTGATGCTGGTGAAGCACAAGGAGACCGGCAACCACTTTGCCATGAAGATCCTCGACAAACAGAAGGTAAGCACGGCCCGGCCAGGAGGCCACCGTCCCCCCCCCC